GTGTGTGTGTGTCTATGTCTATGTGTGTGTGTTAGTGACAGACAGAGAGAAAGAGAGAGAACCAGAGACAGAGAGGTGACTGTCAGAGAGGGCATGCTCTGAAGGTGAAATTAGTGGAATTTTCAGGGTTAGGTGGGGAGTCGAGTAACTTCTCGTTTAGGGAAGGGGGTTAATGATCACAGTTCTAGTGTTTCTGGTAGCGAATTCACCCAGTGGCCCCACTTGGTCACTTGACACTTGGTCAAGTGTCAAGGAGACAATAATGAGGAAGTATAAAGAGAAAAGGGATAAAGAGTAAACTCTGACTTAATCTCTTCTGTTCCAAAAAAAGCAAGTCCAAGCTGCTCTCTTCGTGTAGTTATTTGACTGTTCTGAATGAAGGCCATTTCACTGAGGAGTATAATTCTTTAAGGAGTGCACCATTTGTTTAAAACCCCAAGGTTGAGTGAACTTCAAATATTATACATTTTTGCTAGTGGAATCATGGCATTTTCTAGTATAGAACTGGCACATTTTTGGTTCTTTCATTTTAGAAAAATTAAAACTACCAATGTAAGAAATATTTTTCCTTTTCTCCTTTTCCCCTCAAAATTGGTAGAAGGGTAGTCTCAAGAGATACAATTGCAGTGATATATTTGCAAGGCACTGACTTCTAAAAGTTCAAGTTCTTGTGATGCTCTTTTGAGTGTTCAGGCTGACCTGTTTCCCTTTCACATGAAAAGCCCTAACTGGCACAGACATCATACATGTGACTCCACATTTGCCCCTACATTTCACACTTCTTTTAATATGGATACAAAAATGTCTTTATCAAAAACGTAACAAAAATTTTTTTCTCCTTCCACATTTACCTACCTCCCTCATAAGCTAAGATGGAGAATGCGAGGAACTAAAGTGTGTGTGTTACTTCTTCTGGTCAGTAGACAATTTACTGCTCTACAAACAGAGCTTAAAAACCCGGCGGAGCAGATTGTAGATGACATAAACCAAAAGAGATGTTCTGGGAGTTTGCAGTGGGAGAAAGTGAAAGTCGCGTATCAATTCTGTTTACACTCTCAATTCCTTAGAAGAATCACGTCAAAGAATCAAAGATGCCTTACAGTTCACCTATTTTTACGCAACGTACTAAGAGTTTGGTCAAACTTCACTTGTAGATCATCTCATTGTTTCATTTCCATTTGTATCACAGGTTCTCTCCCTCTGCCCACACTTTTCATACAATAGATATTATTTTACTTTATTAAGCATGTCTGTATGTAGTCTAATAACAGTGTTTTAAGTGAAATGAGCCAGAAAGAGAAAGAAACATACCATATGATATCACTTATATATGAAATCTTTAAAAAGACACAAATGAACTTATTTATAAGACAGAAACATATTCACAGACATAGAAAACAAACTTATGGTTACTAGAGAGGGAAAAGGGTGGGAAAGGATAAATTGGGAGATCGAGGTTTACTTATACTAACTACTATATATGAAATAGATAAATAACAAGCTTATACTTATAGCACAGGGAATAATATTCACCACCCTGTAGTAACCGCCGCTCACACTTCAAAATGTTTGGACTCCCCAGTGTTCAAGTTCACTTTCATCTCATCTCAGGTTCCTGCCTTCCTAGGTTAGAATCATCCAGTCTTAGGATACCAGCCCTGCCAAAGGGCCCTATTCTCAGTCTCTATTTCCACTAAATCTCTAGCTCCAGACCTAGAATCCCAACTGTCCACTAGCTTCCCAGTTAGGTCTCAGAGCACTTCCAAATTAACACAGTCAAAATTTAAGTCCATGCTTTCCTATCCAACATGAGATGTTGTTTACCTTTGTCTTAGTAAATGGCCTCCCAGTCACCCATGCTTGAAGACTTGGAGTCATCATTGAAACTTTTAAGATGAAAACTGGACTACATTAAATCTATCTGAAAAAAAGTTAAATGACTACAAAGTATCCACCCTATAATGTCTAAAACTTAACCATCATGGGGCAGGTAACTGTCCATTGCTTATGTGGCAGCCCATTTATCCCTGCAAATACAATTTTGACGTCATTTCCAAATATAAGGAAGAGATCCCTTGATGTAAGGGAAAGAAAGGAACTCTGTAAGCTCATGGGAATCCCAAACCTCTTCACTCAGAGACTGATCTAGAGGACGTTCCTCAGGTATGACCAGCAAGATGAAAGAGAGAGTCTGCCACATCAGCTCGTGACCACAAGCATAATCGTCGAGGGGAGCAGACGAGAAGAGTTAGGAGAGGAAGTTTCTGGGTCCTCAATGACGTCCCCTATCAGTTACAAGATTCCTGGAGCTGCCTATCTCCAGATTCAGTGCTATGGGGGGTTAACAGAGGCCACTATTACTTTAGCTACTGTCAATTGGTACTCTGTGGATGAAAGCATTTCTGTTAATTGTGTGAGGTCCTTCAAGATTCTTGCTACCTGATCCCAACCTACTTTGCAGTTTCTTCAGTCAACCTTCCCCAGCCTTTCACACCAAACCCAGTAGGATCTGACCCACAGAGTTTTAGGTTTCCGTTTAGAAGGCAGATGCCCTTCTTCTGCATCCTCCTGGTGAGCAGCTCTTGATGTTTCAACTTCTAGCTCAGATGTTGCCTCCTCAAGCAGTGACCACTTTCTGTTTCCCCCAAAACCCTCTGCTTGTTCTTCCTGAAATCATACCCTCCCAAGAAAAATTAATTTCTCTCTCCTCTGTTCTGCATGCTATTTGTATATAATACATTCGATTGCCACGATCCATCCATCCGTCTTGCACTTACCTTTGAGCACCCGGATGTGAGGATGTCTCACTCATCATTGTGCTCACAGATCCTAGAACAGTGGCTGTAACGTAATAAACACTCAGCTAACACTTCTGAGTTTAATAAAATATCTGTGATCACAACAGGAGCAGATGCTGTTCATGATTTTTGGACAGAACTGGTACAAACTTAGATAATCATTAACAATATACTGATAACAGACCTAAAATAGATCATAATTCCCAAGTGACTAATGATGTCAAAGTTCTTTGAGAGTAGCTTTTTTTTCCCCCACAAAATACTATTTGTTCCCTACATTCTTTTCCTTTTTGACAAAATGCACAGATATCTTCTTCTCATGTATCTATAGCTATTTCTACTGTATTATCATAAATATATTTTTAAATTTCTGCTAAATTCACAGCACGTTCCTTCCCTGAGATTTGAACTCACTGTTTGAGCTCATGATCGGTGCCATCACCAAAGCTTTAGGTTACACTTTAAGTCTGAGGAAGCTATTGCTCTGCCCCTGTGTGGGTACTGTTCTAGAAACATCCTTTCCCCAGTGCAGAGATCATTCATCCTGTTCCAGTTTTAACTTGTGCACGATTGTCAGAGAGACCACAGGCTAAATTCACGTTAATTGCTTTCCAAGATGAATATCAGAGTTGAAAAGAACATTAAAGGATTGGTCTTTTCTTCAAAGCTCTAACGCTCTTAAAGAATAGAAACCTGAAAACTACAGGAGGTTGCTTGATTATTTGTTGTTTATCTCAATCGACAGCTCTCTGTGAGTCTGTCATGTAGATTCATCAGTTCAAAGCGCACATAGCCTGCTTTTTAAAAAACTGATGTTTAATAACATTTGTCTACCAACAGTGCAAAATTGCATTTTTGCTCATTACATCACATGCCTCACATTTACTCTCTCTACTGCCTTCAGATGGTCTTTGCTACACTTTTATCCTCAATTTTAGTTTCTATTCATTTTCCCAATTGCCTAAAATCTTTTTAAATTTATTTCTTATTGAAATGTAGTCAGTTTACAATCTTGTGTTAATTTCTGGCATACAGAACAGTGATTCAGTTACACATATACATATTTATATTCTTTTTCATTATGGGCTATTACAAAATATTGAATATAGTTCCCTGTGTTATACAGTAGGACCTTGCTGTTTATTTTATATATAGTAGTATCTACAAATCTCAAACTCCCAGTTTATCCCTCCCTCCGCACTTACCCCTCTGATGACCACAATTTTGTTTTCTGTCTTTGAATCTATTTTACAAGTAAATTCATTTGTGTCATTTTTTTTTGGTATATTCCACATATAAGTGACATCATATGATATTTGTCTTTCTCTTTCTGATTTACTTCACTTAGTATGACAATCTCCAGGTCCATACATGATGCTGCAAATGACGTTCTTTTATTTTTTATGGCTGAGTACTATTCCATCATATAGTCTGAATCAAAGGAGGCATAAACTCTAAATCACTTCAACTTTATACACTGAAACTGCTTTAGATGAGATGCTAGGATTTTTTTTTTTTGGAAGAAATTTAGTAGCAGATGGTCAGAGTTGTCAGGGCTGCTGTGTTGCACAGCTCCAAAAAGTACCACTCACTTCTCTGTCTCCATGTGAATAATGTTCCCTGGAGTGTACCACACACTGTGACCTCCTTTTGTGTGAAGGCTACTTACAGTGTCTCTATGAGTAGATACAGAGATATCTGTAGTTACGGTTCTCAAAGTGATAATTGCATAAAAGCATTTTCTAGAGACAAGAAGGACTTACTGTCCGGGAGAGCATTATCTTTCTTACCTGAGCTGTGGTTTCCTGCTAACAAGGTGGGGCTCACAGAGCATCTTCCCATTCTACTTGTGACCACAGGTGGCCCAGGTGTTCCATCCCATTCCTGAGCTTTGATAGGCTCTCTGGAGGAGGATGCCCCATGGTGGCCTCTCTCTTTGCCGTCCAACTTTGGTATAGGCTCCGTGCTGTGGCTCCGGACTTTCAGCTCCTCTGTCGATTCTGCATATTAACCAAATTGTATTCTGTTAAACGAAAGTCAAATCCTTCCCAGATTCCTTAAAAGAAATTAAAGAAAGATTTTCTAAAATATTTTTAGTATATTTTTGGAAACTTGGACCTGTGTTGGAGATAACAATACTTAAATAAAACAGGGACAGAGACCATGGATTTTTCTCAGCTGGGCAGGTTAATATCCCTGGGAAATAGTTCTCTCTTTGACAGTGGAGAACCTCGATGAATCTCGAGTATCCTTTAGAAACTCTTCCCTTGTGCTCATCTTCAAGGAAACTTCTAAAAGAGCACTTTACACTCGTTCTCTCTACTTTGACATTTTTCTTTCATTCTGCTACCCACTGTGACATGAATTTAGCCCCATCACTCTGCTAAAACTGCTTTTGCTAGAATTGCCCAGTGTCTTTTAGTTGGCAAATTTAGAAGACATGGTTAAGCCATTTGATAACCCTTTGATGACTCTCTTATGTATATCTTCAGTTCTCTTGGCTTCTCTGATGGTGTGTTCCGTCTTATGCCACTCTTGTGTTAGTCACACCTTCTCCTCCTCCATGTGTCCCTTACATGCTGGTTGTCCCCAAGGTTCCACCCTCATAACTCTTCTTCTCATTCTACATCTATCCTCCAGGATTCAACTAGCAATCATCTGAAGGCAACTGGCTCCTAAGTAGTGATCACAAGCCTGGACCATTCTCCTGAGCTTTAGACTCAGTTACCCAACTGCCTGCTGGATGACTCCATCTAGATGCCCCCTGGATCATACAAATTTAGCATTTCAGATACTGGACTGACACCATGTCTTACTAAACCAATGGTTCCTTCCCACCTGCCAACCATCCAAGCTAGAAACTTACCTGTATGTTTCTTTCATGGCTACTCCTCAAATCCATCAATCTGCAAGTTCTACAGATACTATTTCTGCATGGTTTGCCCTCCCTTCTGCTGCCCTTTGTATCATGTCTATCTCAGCCATTCTGGTTTGAGCTCTCATCGTCACCCTTGACTTATTGCAACTTGTCTCCTTGCTTCTGTCCTTGGCTCCCCAAAATACAAGCTCCATATACTGTCAAAGTGACCTCTTTCAAATACAAATCTGATCAAGTGTTTTGGGTTTTTTTGTTTTGCTTTTTTGGGAAAATAGACACCATAACCATTCTGTAAGGCATGTATGGAAGCATGTATTAAATTAAGATGACTTAAGAGTGATACCCACTTGCTACGTTCAGAACCATGTTATTTCAGAGAACCGATGTGACAGCCATTCTGGAATGCATGTAGAGAAATGTTTAAAAACACATGTATATAAAAAAATATGTATATAAAAGCCTGCTTGCTTCGTTGAGAACAGTGTTATTTCAGGGAATGGATATGATCATCAATCTCTAATGCACATAGAGAAGTGTTTAAAGACAAAAACAAACAAACAAAAAAATCTGTTCATAATGTGACCCTGACTAAAATCTTTCCAGAAGCCTCCTGTTACCCACAGAAATACGTCTAAGCTCCTTATGACCCACAAGTTTCCCTACCATCTCTCTTCCAGCCTCGCTAACTTTTTCACTTCCCACCTGCACACTGTATTCAAGAAACGTCAATAAACTGGCGGTAGATTCCTCCTCTCCACTCCACCTCCAACAACAGTGCAGTTTTCTGTAGCTGTGTTCTCTGATCTCACCTCCTTTGAATACCCTTGTATCGCATCTTTAATTGAGGAATCCTTGCCTCCATCTTGGTTCCTCAAATTTAAGTACCCTCTGAAGCCTCCCCCATGCAAATCCTCACCCTAGGTTGGGACATGGTCATCTCTGCACTGATGCTGTGTTAGAGCATTTTTCTGTGTATCTGCTCTTCTCAAAGGGCCCTGAGTTCTTTAATTGCAGGGTCTAAGTTTTGTTTTTTGGTTTTTGGTTTTTTTAATTTCCATTTGGTGCCTCCAGCACTCAGCATATTGCTCAGTAGGTATTTAATTAATTCACGTATTGAGTAGTTTTCCCAACTCCTGTGGCATCTTTCAGATGTGTGTAGGAAATGCCATATTCCGAATAGAACAAGGGGACCATGAGTGTTATTAATGCCTTAAAGTGGCACAGAGCTGTGGTATTTTCCAAAATCTGATTCTCTAACAATCACAAGTGGTAAAATTCACCACAGCTTGAAAGTTTAATTCAAATACAGCATCTCTGAGAAAGACTATGGTAAAAAAATTACAGAAATGGTTCAGAGAATCTGTATTTTGTTTTCTTTGCATGTAGGTTCAAACACTCATCAACTCTCAGCAGTGTAATAAGACGCATGTCACACTTCAGTTCCCTAATATTTGAAACTGTGGGGCAGAGATAGAATAGTTTGTAATACAGTAAGCAGCTGGGAGAGGGATCTGAGAAGCCCAGCTTGGAGCCCTGGCCATTGTGGCCTTATGGCTGCTGACCCAGGACGCTGAGCCCCTGGTTTCTCCTCCTGGAGTTTCATTTTACTTAACGACAAAATGGAGATAATATCAGTGTTGCCTAATTTTCCCAAAGTGTGAAGGATCTAATAATATCCTACATTTTAGAATATTTTAAAAAACTAAACAGTGCCACACATGTCAAAAGTAGTATTTTTTTTTCAACTGTAGCAATTTGTCCTTTATGAATTTATTTAGTCTTTATGCATTTGTGTTAGGTAATCGCTGAGGGACTACGTATACGAATGGAAAACTGCCAGACCACAGATAAAAATAGAATTCTAGAGGGGAGAGTGTAGCTCAGCGGCAGAGTGCATGCTTAGTGTGCACGAGGTCCTGGGTTCAATCCCCAGTATCTCCATTTAAAATTTTTTAAAGTAGAATTCTAACCCAGTATCCACAGTAGCCAGCCCAGGAAGCCAACCTACTATCTATAAGTCAGACTTACAGGAATTCAGACCACTATCTCCAGCAAACAATCCAGGAAGCCAAACAATATTCTGTGTAACAGTTGGCCCAAAGCAGCCAGGATGTAATTAATCACCGACAGCTCCCCTAAGTTTTGGCCCTGTTTTTAACACAGGACCAAGCACAAGAGAAAATCAAATATTCCTCTAACTAATGACACAGGATGCCCTGCTTGTTAGGCTGCCTGTAGCTTCCCTTTGCCAACAGCCTCCACTAGGGGGCGTATATGAAGCCTTCCTTCTCTCCCCACTGTATGAAGCTATCCCACTCTTCCTGCCTTGAGTCCCTGACAAGTGGAAGTGATGGTGGCTGACTGCCTGGCTACAGCAAGGTCTGAATTAATAGCCCCATGTGCCCTCATTTGTTTCGTCTTCATTTATTTTCACATTGCTGTGGTCCCTTCCAGCTCCAAGATGCTATGCAGTTGTGCAAATTCATGTCAAAAATACAAGTCCACGAGACAGAACTTAAGCCGGGAGGGCAATACCACAGTAACACCCTCAGAAGGATCCCTGGGTACATAAGCTGAAGTCCCATTTATGCTGAAATCAAATATAAGAAGTCAAAATATTTTTAAACTAACACATTCCAGCAAATAATTACCACAAGACAATTTAACCAACACTTGCTTTTCTGTGCCCTGAGTCAAATGGAATCAAATCAGTATCAGAAAAGAACATCACAGACTATTTCCAAGCTGTTTATTCACAGTTTCAAAGAAAATGTAACTCTGGCTTCCACATGTCACAGCCTCAGAGCCTAATGACCCATCTGTTTCACCGCACCTTCTCTTCCAGATTTAAAACGAACCATTGGGATGTTTGCTTGATTATCAACCTCTACAGTTTCTTCCACTGCCATCATTAAGCAGTTACTGTTTCTCTTTTCCCTTCCCTCTGTCTCTGTCTGTCTGCTTGTCTCTCCCTCTCTCTCTCTCTCTCTCTCTCTCACACACACACACACACACCCAGTGTCTTTTACCACTGGAATTGAAACTACCCAAACTGAAAAGAAAAAAAAAAAAGGCTCTAACTTAATACTGGGTCCAAAACTGTTCCTGCAGGTTTGGACAAGATTTGAAATATGAGAGGCACCCCCACCAACCTCATTTCTTTGTTCTTATTCAAATTACCTGCATACACAAACCAAGGAAGTGTCATTCAGGTCCCAAACCTCAACTAAATAAAAGCCCAATACAGTTTTGGGAACAAAAAGGAGTCTTTTTTTCTTTCTTTCTTTCTGCTTTGTTTTCAAGTCCCACAGGTTAGTCTTCAGTGAATTTTGGCAGGTGTATCTAGAGAAACCTGAACAAAAGGTTTGAAGAAATCATGCTACTCAGACTTGTAGCTTAACTTCTGCCTCCTAAAAGAAGGCAGAGCTGAAAAATCTGTAAGAAAATCATAAACGTATTATTTTATTGGAGAATAAGCCTGGTTTCCCATGTATATTCAAGAACAGCTTCCTACAAAATGCGTTTTCTAATCAAAATAAATATGAAAACCTTCAAAACAGCTGTTGAAAAGAGGCCTGGAAAGTGGACAATTAGACTAAGAAATATTTCTAATCAAAATAAATATGAAAATCTTCAAAATAGCTGTTGAAAAGAGGCCTAGAAAGTGGACAATTAGACTAAGAAATATATACAATAAGAACTCTTGAAAGCGCAGAGAAACCTATTCAGAGGAGTAAGGATGTACTTAGCCATATTCACATATGTCAATGTTTTTTCTTAAAGCCTGTTGAAAATAAAATTGATTTTAGTAGCATCAACTTTCCTGAACAAGAATAATTTTAGGTACTGTGGGAAATTTTTACGTGGAATTGAAGTTCTTTCGATGTTCACAGTTAAGCCCCAGCATGTGACACAGGGCCAACTACACAGAAATTGCTCATCCTCTATTCATCAAGTGTTGAGTATTGATCTAAAATATGATTCTCGCATTGAAATCTTATCTTGCTGTGAGAAAAAAAAAACATATAATTGCATTACATTTGCCTTTCAGATTGTGTGTTTTGCTTATCATTGTCTTAGACATCTTACAGTGTTTAAGTTGAAGAAGAATAAATAAGGACA